CAATAGGTACATATATATTACATAGTGTATGGCCCTGGGCAAGTCACTTGGCCTCTTTATGCCTCACTTTTTTCACTTGCAAAGCGCAGATAACCATAGTACTGCATAGGTAGTTGTTAGGGTTAAACAACTTCAACATTAAATGTTATTAAATAATAATGGGAACTGTTTACAACAGACCTTAGAGCATAAGAACTGGGAATCATCTTATTCTGGAGCCATTAATTCATGGGGCTTTAGTTCTCTGCATCCATGTACTTGCTGGTCACTCTCACACAGAAGTTCATTAGATGCAAAAGCAGACTCACTGGACAGCCAGACCATGGACAGCAGACAGCCGCACACTGCTTCCTGACTTTCTGACTGAACTTTTCCCTAGTTTCCGCCCTCCAGGCAGGTAACACAGTGTCTCAGTTTCTTGGTCCTTATCCTTGTGCCCCTTTTGCTCCTGTTACTCCCCACTGTGCTGCCTGTCCCTGCTGACCCCTCATGCACAGCCTACTTCAGTCGTTCCCTACTTTCAGCATCTCCCCACTAGTCTGCTCTGCACACTTCCCCACTAATCTGCTGTGCCACTGGAAGAGTTGCCTAAAATATCATTTTCATTCTGCCCTTCCCCAGTTCCTACTCAAACTCAAATTACGTTCCAAGGCCTACAAAGTCTGGCTCCACAGTGTCTTCTGACTTTGTTGTGCCACGCTCACATCCTGCTGCCGTTCTGGTTGTGGGCCTCTTGTGAAAAGAAAATCTCCTTTAGGTCATGACCACTACCTTGATTCAGGGCTCCTTTGCAGCTTCAGGCACTTTCCTCACCCAGACCTGTACCTGTCCAACCATACCTATGCTTCAAGGATGGCACCAGTCTCCCTTGCCCTAAAAAGTTCCCCAGGGCTGGGGATTTAGCTCAGTGGTTCCAACCGCCTGCCTTGCAAGTGCAGGGACCCGAGTTTGATTCCAAAAAACAAAAAAATCTGCTTAGTTTGGGCTGGGGATTTAGCTCAGTGGTTCCGCTGCCTGCCTCGCAAGCACGAGGACCTGAGTTTGATCCCCAGTACCAAAAAAAAAAAAAAGGTTCCGCTGCCTGCCTCGCAAGCACGAGGACCTGAGTTTGATCCCCAGTACCAAAAAAAAAAAAAAGTTTCCCAGATCACCGCATGGCAAGACTGTGCTCATTTAGTATGTGAGCCTCATCAACCAAAGAGATGACCAGCTCCCAGAAAGCCTTGATTCATATGCCTCTGGCCTTTTGCACAGAGTTTGGCACAAGCCTCCACAGGGCAGGCAATGAACAATCAATGTATGATCCTTTAGTGATGAAATTCCAGGTACTTCCCTTTCTTCCCCCCAAGAACTGGGAAACTAAAAAATGTTACACCATCCAAAGGATGTGATTAAAGACCTACCATGTTCTGAACACTATGCTGCTTGTTGAGGTTTGGAGGAGGTGATCCAAAAATGAATGACCCAGGTCTTGATCAGAAACATCTTACATATGAAGGGTTCTTATTCTAGGCTCCTTTGGTGGGCTTTAAGTGATCTAGAACTTCTTGAAGTTGTCAGCAAAATTTCCTAGATATGTGCCATATACGCCTCTTTCTGGAGAGAAGGCTGGTGGCTTTCATCAGGTGCTGCAAGGAATTCTAACCATGCTAAAGTGCAAGGCTCAATGCTCTAAGGACAAAGACATTCATACAGTCGACCTGTATACCAGTGCTCAGCGTAAGTGCTTAATGGAGAGAAAATATGATGGAGAGAAAGCACTGCACTGTTTCTCTGACATTGGAGAAGGCAGGGAGTGGAATGGAAGAGAGGGAGTTGAGCTGGTCTTTATTGAGTGGAGCAGCTCCATGAAGAAGGGAAGCGAAAAAGAGCATGGAGGTTGAGAGCAGGCCTGTCAAAGGCCCAAGGCAGGACAGCATGTCTTTGGGGAGGAGCCTGTCATCATCTGGTGAGGCTGAGGCGTGCAGTCTGAGGCCACAGGATGATGTAAGCAAACTCCTTTGCCCCTCTTTCAGGTTCAGTCTCATGCAAAACCACACAGCCTCAAGCGAGTTCACAAGTCAGAGACACCAAGGAAGTCAGTAATCCTTCAAGTGGGGGCCAGGAAAAGTGGGGAGCTAGCTCCTAGGAGAAGCCCAGAGACACCTGTTATAGTGGCTGGGGCTGCAGTATAGCAAGGAAGCCTTTATATACCCTTTTGTAGGAAAGGCACAAAGCTGACTGGTCCCACAGAGGCTGGGTATGGAGCTATCCTCCAGATACAACCATGAGTGTTGGGGAGGGCAGCAGAAGTGGGTAAAAAGGGAGAATTTTCCTTAGATATCCAAGCACCAATCTGAATCTGTACTGCATGGGGTAGTTCCCACCATCTAAATGACAGGTCCCCTAGGTGGACAGGCCCTGGAGAAATGAGAGAAATGATAACTTGGAGGCCTAGCTCTGAGGCCAGGGCACTGAGAAGCAACAATGTCCCACTGAGGTAGCCCCACACTGAAAAGACCTTTACCTTTTCCAACCACCGTGCTCACTCCTCCCTCAGGGCTCCTTGGAAAACTTTTTTTTTTTTTTTTTGTCTGCTGCCCTACTCCCTCATATCCCCTGCCTTACTTTCCACTCAGTCCTGTTCATCAAGTCACTTACTTGAAGACTTGTTTGCTCTTCTACAGAGGAAGCTCCCTGAGGATGAGGAAAAGGGAAAAAGAATCTTGGCTTCATGCAGCTGACCCATGTTAGCAGGCCCTAAAGCCCCTACTGCCTCCCAGGCCTGTGTGTCCACTATCAACCGGGCAGAATCGATGCCATTCTCACCCAGCTTCATGTCAGTCAGGAAAGCCCTTCTCCAGATGCCAGGCTTCCACAATCTGAGTCTTGTGCTTAATTTATTTTCCTGTTCTTTGGAGAGAGAAGCAGAATACATGGAAGAGGTATGCATGAGCTGGGAGGCCTTGCTGGGCAGATCATCCCTTACACCTCTGCTGCCAAGGTCCCACCTATTACAGCAGGCTTGGGCTTGGTTGCTACTGAGTCTGCGGGGCTCTTTAGGGAGTCCTGGTGTGATTTCCATCTTCCCTTCAATTGCAGCCCTCCCACTCTCCTACTTAAGGCTGCCTTTGCAGGAAAATCCCATAAAGAAGAGAGAGCCAGAGAAGAGCCTGCTTCCCAGAGGCTCTACTATATAACCCTTACTATATCAGACTCCTAGCAATTCCCAAGTAATCATTTTTCTATTCATGAGAAAATGGGAAAAAACAATCCCACAGGAACAATTAATGTTTTCCAAAAAGGAAAAAGGCATTCCAAAGTCACATTTGCTTTTTCTGGGTTATAAACAGGGCAGGAGACTGGGAAGCAGGAGTTGGTTGGGATCTTGGGTGCCACATGTATGTGGGGTGTGCCTTTATCTTTCTGTCTGTCATCTGGTTAACTGAGATTTGGAGGCAGGGCAACATGCTCCTCCTCTGGCCCCAAAGAGAAGAGGAACCAAAGGCCTGTGGCCTGCACCATGTCTGAATATCAGATTACGTAGCACCTGCTCTGGGCCCCAGTGTCTGCGTTAATAACAATGAATTAATCAAGGTGAAGGGCTTAGTGCAGAGTCTGGCAGTAAGTAGTGCTCAACAAATGATGGCCATTTTATTCCGATTATTGCTACCACTGTGAAGGGAAATGAGGCTCTGTGCTCTGGGCCAACTCTGATCTGAGTGGGGGTCTCTGAGTGTCTACTTTCTCTACACACCACTCCTGCTGTGCTGGCTCCTGTATTCCCAGCACTGAGCACACTGGAAACCCACAGTGAATGCTTAACAGAAACAAGACTTAAGAACTAATGGTACTTCTCTGTTTACCTTCCTCCTCCCACAGTCCTGGTTCTACTGACCACCACCAAAGCCAATGTCCTGAGGAACAAGTGCTTCTGACTCAGGCTCAGAAGCAGGCAATAGTTAGGCCAGGCCTCTGTCAGCATCCCCACAGGCCTGCCCCCAGGCTGGCCTGCAATACATTCTCACTCAATTCCCTGGGCACCTGGAGGAGCCAGTGCCTGAGCCAGGGTGACTCTGCCCCATAGAATTAGGATTTTGCGCATAAAATATTAAATTTTACATTTAAAGTTATTGGTCACAGATGATTTATCAGCCACACAGAGGCCACAATAGATTTTCTCTGTAAGGGAGATGAATTTTAGCAAAAAAGGAATATGTATAAGTGGCAGTAGCCAGGGACAGATACCACCCAGAACCTCCAGTACAGGCCTGGTGTTTGCTGAGAGGCACCCCCTTGCACCCTCGTCCTGGCTCTGGAGAGGATGGTGGGATTCTCCATCACACCAGCTGACAGAGTGCTGCGTCTAGATCAAGTTCTCTGAGCCTGTTTTCTCTTCTCCCTTGAAGCCTTCCTCTGTTTCTTTTAGCTTTGTCAGTGTATCTGCATATAGTTCTGCCTCATTGGGAATACAAACATTTGTGAATACGAAGCTTTTATATACTTATCCCATTCACTTCTTATTAGATATCCAGAAACTTGACCAAAACCCTATCTAGGATGCTGAATCCTATGGGAAGGCGAGTCTCAGATCTGCTTGGGAGAGGCTATACGCACACACTTTGGTATGGTATAAAGGAGAGTGCATCAACTCAAATGGCATCCCTTGCCCCAAGAAGGCAAGGGCAGTCCTAAGAAAGGTAAATGGTGGCTAGATGAGGTGAATCTGATTCAGCAAATATTTTTCTGATCAGGTTGACTGTCTGAGGGTAGGTGCTTATCCAGTACTCTGGAGGCCTCAGGACAGGTGCCAACTCTGGAGTTCTACAGCTGCTAGCTTTGCAGGTGACTCTGCTGTGAAGTTGGCCTGCCATGGAAACCCTTGTGTTTACATGATGGATTGGAACAATGCCTTATGTTGGTATCCACCGCTATATAGCTCCCATATGGAGCAGATGAGATAGTGAGATTGCAGAGACAGGACCTCTCCTCGTTGTGCCCGAGCTTAGAGACCTGCTTACCTTTTTCTCTTTGTCACCATATTCAATGCCCAAAGTGTCCATAGCCCGGACAATGGCTGCCAGAGACTGGATGGTGTTGCTGTAGACCACAGGCTTGTACTGCTTCACGTCTTCTCCAGAGAAGCCATCTTCATGGATGATCCTGGGGAAAATCACACATACCACATCTGATGAATACACTACTCTGTCCTGACTCAACATGGAGAGCAGTAGGCACTGAAAGCCTGGGGGCTGCCCTTCTAGTTTATTGGGGTGAGGACAAGGTCCTACTAGGAGGAACTACTGGGCTGATGCAGTAATGCTGTATAATCTGAAGGAATAAAACCTACGTGAATTACTGAAAAATAATCTGAAAAACAGAACATTGGGAAAAAAAACCAGCCTGTATGGTCACTACATGCAGTGAGAGAAAGGAAGTGCTGATAAGTATTTCAAGTATTTGAAAGCATTAACAGGAGGAGCAAACACTGAGTGCTCAATAGTTGTTAGCTATTGATATTTTAAGCAAAGCTCAGGGTCTTAAGTATACACTTGGGCATATTGCTGAATCTTTGCAAGGAGTCTGCAAATGATATTTTCTCTTCATAGAAACTCAGTGCTTTTAATGAAAGCAGAATGAATCACTTAAATGAAAAAATAACCATTGTCATCACCAGCAGAAAAGTCAACAGAAGATGTCTCCCTGCTCTTTAATCTTTGCTGGGATTTAATCACCATGTCACCCTTATTCTGCTAGATCTCAACAGTGACACAGAGCCCACAAAAAGGACATCAAAGTTCTTAGAGGGCATGTAACACTTGCTGGTGGCCCCTCCAACACATGCTCACTGTGAATAAAGATCCATTTAAGACAGAAAGCTAGAAAGAGGAAATCATGCCAAAGCATAACAATCCTCTTAACTGAAGTATTTGAGAAAGAGCAAATAAAATCTAAGACTAACATCTAACATTAATTTTTAATTCCTCAAAAAACTGTATGAACTCTTCTTTAGCAACACCACTTTCAGACCAAGATGGAATGCTATGGGTAATGTGCACATACCAACACAACAGCTGAGCCTCTCTTCTACTTCACCAGCCGCTCTCTATTCATTGCCTTCAGAGCAGGAAAAGATTGCAGTGACAGTCCTTTATTTTTTAAAAACAGCTTTACTGAGATATAATTCACATAATATACTATACTATCTGCCAACAGTATTGCAATTCAATGTTTTATTATATTCACAAGGTTGGATAACCATCACTGCAATCTAATTTTAGAACATTTTGTCCCCCTTCTCCAGAAGGAATGCTGTACCCCTACCTTACTCCAACCCTAAGCAATCACTTATCTACACTGCTCTGTAAATTTGTCCATTCTGGAAAGCTCATATAAATGAAATCATACAATGTTTGATCATTTGTGACTGGCTCTCATTTATTACAATGTTTTCAAGATCCATCTATGCTGTAGCATGTTTCAGTAACTTGTTCCTTTTTCTTACTGAATAATATTCCTCTGTATGGATATACCACTTTTTATTTACCCAGTCATCAGCTAATGGGCACTAATAAGTTCTGTTGCAAAATTAGACTTGATGCTGGGCTCTGAGTGTTCAACCTGAGTTTCTCTAAGAAGCAGATCAGAATGACCTAGTAACCTTTTATTTACTTTGATCAGCCCCATGTTTACTTTTATAAGATTCTTGAGAAGTGTATAACCTGCCCCACGTATAGTGTATCACCAGGTAACTGGCAGCTCCCACCATATATAATCAGAACTTGATAGGACATGTGAAACAAGTGTCTTCAGACACTGGAGAACAGGCAATGCAGAGCTTGGATCCCTTGAAGAAGGGTGTCTTAGTCACTTTTCTCATTGCTGAGACAAAATACTCAACACCCAAAGTTAAAGGACGAAAGGTTATTTCATGTTATAGTTTGTAGAGGTTTCAGTCCATAGTCAGTCCATGGTGCGGCAGGGCAAGCAAAAGGCAGTAAAGCAGCAAGCAGCAAGCAGCAGGAAGCAGGAGCAGTAGCACCCTACCTCTCCCTTTTATCCCTTCTGGGCTACCTACCTTTTGAGTGGTACCACCCACACTCTGGGTAGGCTAAATCAATCAGTGGACTAATTTAGTAATTGTGTATTCTTAATCTCAATATCACACCCTTAACACCAGAATCACATACCTTAGATCCAGCCACCTCCGAAAAGCCCCACCTATGATGTCACTAAACTTTGAGGGGATGTCTAGATACAAGCCATAACAAAGGGACCCATTGAGGTGTTAATCAGATCACAGTGCACACAGGAAGCAGCCAAGCAGAATCCTGTGGCTCAATGAGCTGCAGAGATAAGGATCAGCGTTCAGAAGGTTGAGGCAGTTGGCTTTGGAGAAAAAATTGAAGAAAGAGCTCCAGGTATCTGCTTGGGGTCCCTCTGAGTCAATGACTGAGTAGTTGAGACTTCACAGCTGGGCACAGAAAATACGACCAAAGAAAGAGGGAGCTTTATGCAGCTTATAGGTTGAACACTTTCTAGAGCTCCGTTGTATTGGGAGATAGGCAGGTTCCTACCAACCAGAGTTGAGAGTCCTTGAGGGATGTCTGGGGCATTCACCAGAGGCCCCAGATTGCTCATGCCATGGTAATAGGTCTAAATTAGCGCTATGGCTCCAAGGCCTGCCCTAACCATGCTGAAAAACAAGCCTTGAAAAAAAAACAAAATAAAACATAAAGCTGAACTGAAAGTAACTTAACTGCCTGATAGAATAAAGTCAATACTCTTTAAATGAACAAAATTGACAAAACCCAGTCAATATAATATTTAAATATTGCCATCTAATAAAAATTCCTGAGTATGCAAAGAAGCAGGAAAGTGATCCTTATGTAGGAGAAAAATTAGTCCACATAAGAAGACATAAACACAACAAAGATGAGGGAATTAACAAATAAGGATGTCAAAACATCTATTTTAGCCAGGTGTGGTAGCACACACCTGTAATCCCAGCAACAGGAGGATCAAGGCCAGTCTGGGCTACATAAAGAGTTCAAGGCCAGCCTGGACCATGTAGTGAGATCCTGTTTCAGAAAATTGAAACAAAAACATCTATTTTAAATATTTTCAAAAAATTAATGGGTTTCATGAATGTAATTAGGAGATAAATGGAATATATACAAAGAGATGATATGTAGTAGCAGAAATAAACATTTCCCTGGATGTGATTAATAGAAGATTAGACATAAAGAAGATTGGTGAACCCAGACATAGCAATAAGAACTCTCAACAGAGGCAAGAAGAGGGCTGAAAGCATAATACACATATAACCTGTGTAAAATTTATATAACAGCAGAAACAATAAGAGGAAAGAATGCTGTAGAAAGACTCATCATGTGAAGTTAAAGGCACCCATTGTAAACACTAAAGTAATCACTGAAAACCTTAAAAGAAAAGCAACTGCCAACCAGACTCCCCTAGCGGTGGAGGGCCTGAGCAGTGTGTGTGTGTGTGTGTGTGTGTGTGTGTGTGTGTGTGTGTGTGATTTACAGATCCTCATGGTTTCCCCAGAAACTAGGGAAGAGATCCCATGGCATTGTTTTGGGGCCCATAGGCCCTGACACCCTCCTGGGCATACTCTCTAGACTGCTGGATGTCTGGGACTTCCTTACACCTAGATTGGGACTATCATTTTTCACACTTATATTTTTATACTTACCTTACGAGATAAGAAGGGTACATTTTTTTATGATGCCCACTTGACAAAAGAGGAAATCAAGGCTGAGAGAGATTAAGTAATTAGCTCAATGTCTCTCAATGGGTAAGTGATGGAGCCAGGAACAGAACCCAGGTCTCCAAGTTCATAGTCCGATTTACCACACCTCAAGTCATACACTGGATGAGGCCTGGAAAGTGTCAGCTTGGTGCCTGGTGTCAGCTGGGGTGGCTTCAAATAAAAAAAACTTCAATTGAAGTTTGCAGAAATAATGCAATTTGGGTAAAATTGCTTAAGACATGATTATTAATTCTATGACTTGTTCAAACTGGTCTGTTAGCTTAAAACTAGGCTTATTATTTCAGGGTAGAATTTACAATCTTCTTTCTCCCTTCCCTAAAGTAAAAAAGTACTCATTCATGGCTAGAAAACTTGAACCATACAGAACAAGAAGAAATATTATTTATAATTTCACTACTCAGAGAAAAACACTGACTATTTTGGTGTAAGACCTTCCATATCATTTTGTAATATCACATTCCTCCTTTTTTTTTTCCTTCCAGCAGTGATTTGAAGCAAATATCCTTAAAAGTATCAAATAAGGCCTTTTATTTTCTTGGGCTTCACATCATTCCACAGAAGCCACATGGAGCAGTGGCCATGGCTTGAGCAACAGAGAAGCCTGAGGCAGCGAGATCTCTGTCACTGAGGAGCAGTGAGTCCCAGTGAACAACTTCACCTCCAGTCTTGAGTCCCTCACCTGTAAGGAGCTGTTCTGAGAAACAGAGTTAAGTATACAGCACACGGCAGCTACTAGCGCTGGCATTCTCATTTTCAAGCTGAATTCCTCCCAATATAATCTCTATCATTTGTAGCATAAAAAAGCAGAAGAGTAACTGTGGCCAACATCTGAAGCTTTACTTTCTGTGTCAAATGCTTAACATGTTACATTTTGTCTAGTTACCAAACAATCCTGGAGGACATCATTTTCTCTTCACAGATGAGGAAACTGAGGCTGAGGGAGGTGAGCCTGTTTACCTGAGGGCACACTGGTGCTAAGTGGCAGAGCAGCATCTGGGGAGCTGTTTGTGACTGGCAGGTGGATGCTGAGGTAGGGCTGCTTCTTCCCCCCTGGGCCTTACACTCAGGTTTCAGAGGTTCCCAAGGTTGTACACATAACACAAGCCTCAGCACTCCTTTTACAATGTCTGCCCAGTGTTCTGGGGGTATGGGCAAGGAAAGTAAGTCTCTGGGTTGAGAGGTTGGAGATGCACCTCAGCAGAGTTCAGTTTCATGGGATGACCCATTTCTCAGTCCTAGAGGTGGGCCTTGGCCATGATTTGGAAAGCAGGAATGAGCTTTACTAAGGCTCCATGAGATGCCTTAGTAACAGTCAGTGGCATCTCACTGCAGTAGTCACAGATGGAAGTGTTAAGTCAAAGAGTACGGA